TATTAAAGTCTCTCGCCCGGCAGTGGTGGCACACGCCTTTAATCCCAGCACTTGGGAGGCAGAGGCAGGTGGATTTCTGAGTTCGAGGCCGGCCTGGTCTACAGAGTGAGTTCCAGGACAGCCAGGGCTACACAGAGAAACCCTGTCTTGAAAAAAAAAAAAAAGTCTCTGTGTCATTATTTATGCCACTGGTGGATCTGAGAAAGTCCCTTTATTCTCTTCTCTGTGGTACATCTGGGGGGTCACCACTGTAGCTTATGTCCCTCTCCTCTATAGCTCTTTCACACACCCCTGACATTCACATCCCAGGGGTCAGCAACCTTTCCTAGTCTGTGTCCTGAGCCTGTGAGAGGGGGACACCCCTCCCCCACCTTCTCCTAGATGTCAGAGGTCCTCACCCTCTTTGGCCTAAGATCACCGTCTCCTCAGTGCTGACCCTCCTGCCCAAGCCCCAGCACCATGGCACCCATCTCACCTGCCTGGTGACTTCCTCTGTAGCTGGTGTGGCTGTGGAGAGGGCCGTCCAGCTCAGTGTTACCTGTGAGGGAATCTAGAACATCTAGTTCTTCAGAGTATGAGAGGACTAGAATGGGGGTTGGAGAATCGTGATGACTGAGTCCCAGAATACTAGCTGAGTAGGAGCCAACACAGGACCTGTGCTTCTGTGAGTCTGATTTCTTGGAGATGGAGTCAGAGTGTTGGCTCACCTCACCTTTACTCCGAGTGAGGAGAAAACTCCCTTTGCTGACATCATGATATGCAGAGCCCCAATAAGTCCCTCTCAGAAACTGACTCAGCAAGACCACCTCCATCACGAAGTGGTGGCTGGTGACACAACCCTGCTTGCAATCCACATCTGCCTCAGCTTGTTCATGCGAGCCTCAGTTCTGGGTCTCTGCATGGAACTGGAGGGATTGTTAAGGAGCTATGGCCAGGGTATGTGAACATCCAGGCAGCAATCACTTAACAAGTATGGGTGTGTCTTGGGTGTCCAGAAGTGGGGGCAAGAAGAGCTCCTTGGCACACCTGCATCATCAGGGACACTGGCTGACCTGCCCAGGTCACAGGTCCAAAGGTCATGCAATGATCCTTAGTCTGAACAAAGCAGCCTGAAAGAGTGAATGCTCTTGGGAAGAAAGAAGCCAGAACAGTAACGGTAATAGACCGCATTCCCCCTGCTTCCAGGCCAGTTTCTTGGGAGAAGGATATGGGTGTCTCAGGATCCTGTCATCCCTCAGGAAACGGCCTGTGCTGGCCTCTGCTGGTGTCCCAGTCAGCAGTTCAGATCTACGTGTGTCATCTGCTCCCTAGACTTCCTTTAGGCACAGTAAGGTTTTCCAATCATGAAGCCGTGACCAGGTTCCCAGGAGAAATGTGCAGGCTAGGTTATGAGAAGCCGTATAGGTCGAGACCTGGGCTTATCATCATTCTGCATCTATGTGGAGACACAGTGGAGTAGACACATGAGTGTGGAGCTTATGAGGAGGAAATGGATGAGACAAAGTTGGCAGTCTCTGATGATTGGAACAGCTACTCTGAGTGATTCAAGCCGGCTCTGGGGTCCAGGTTGTCTCTACTCGCCTGTGACCTGGGACTGTGAGGTACAAGTATAGAAGGCCTAGAGTGTCAGAGCTCCCTGAAGGATGAGTCTGGGTTAGACATTATAGGATGTTTGCATTGGAAAGGTGCATGCATGGGTGGATTCTTCACTGTCCAGAGGATGGTGCTCTTTCTGTCGTCTCTGTCTCTCTCTTCTCTCCCTCTCTTCATTCTACCCTCTCTCAGAGAAGCACTATTTCTACAATCTTCAGGAACCTGGATCAGAACATCACAGACAGGGTCAGTACATCCCTGAACATGCCTCTCTTGGTAAGATACTTTTTCCTGTGGCTGTGATAAAACACTCACCAAAAGCAACTTGAGGAAGTTTATTTTGGCTTTTAACTCCCAGGTCATGGATCTTCCCCAAAGGAAGTCAAGACAGGAGCTTACTTCTTTCGGCTACTTCTTACTGCTTACTTCCTTGGCTTGCTCAGCTTTCCTTTGTATACATCCTAGATCCACCTGTCTAAGAGGTGGGGTGGGGACTCCACTCTGTACAGTACACACCCAGACACCAAATCCTCAGCACAAAGATGTATTACCCTGGAAAAGGGGGGTGGGGAGGCTGCCTCTGGATTGGGCAAAAGCAATCAGCAAAAAGCAGGTTGTGTGTGTGTGTGTGTGTGTGTGTGTGGTGTGGTATGTGTGTGTCTGTGTGTGTGTGTGGTGTGTGGTATGTGTGTGTGTGTGGTGTATGTGTGTCTGTGTGTGGTGTGTGTGTGTTGCTATTGTTGTTTACTTTTGTTTGTATTTTTGTTTTTTTTTTCTAAGAGTGGGATTTTTAAGGAAAAAGGGGGAAAGTCTGGGCTAAGGTAAGTTGGTAACTCCTGATTGGACAGGTTATGTAGCCAGTATAGCCAAATAATAAATTTTGATTGCTGGACCTTTGTATCTAGTCTCAGGAATGAGTCAGTGGGCAAATAAGGGAATGGACCTTGGGGACTAACTTTAGGAATATAATCTAATGGTGTTTAGCAAGGGAGAGGGAAGGGAAAAGGGCAAACCTGTCGGTTGGTTTGGGACCTGGGACTGAGGAACAAAACAGAAGAGTAGCATCTGTATCCCCATCACACACACCCTTTACCAGTCTTCAGAACCTATCTATCCACTGAAACCCCCAAAGTGCAAGGCAATGGCGTGAGCTCATGGACTCACCCATCTCCTTGTGGAACGGGCACCCTTCCAACAGCATCATGCTACTGCTTCATCCCTCACTGATTTTAGAACCAGCTTTTTCAAGCTTCCAGCAGAGACTGAGGACCAGTAGTTCTCCAGAAATTCTCCACACATTCAGCACCAGACTGAGACTGCTGAGACATCAGCTTATGAACTAGCAAGCTTGGTCTGTAGTGTGGGACCGAGATGCAAAGTTCCTTCTCTGTGGTCAGTCACTCTGTCTTTCTTTATTCCTGGACTACGTCAGTAGGACGACTTCTCCCCCATCCCTCCCCCATTATTTGAACTACTTACATGGTATTAGATTCAAACAGTTTTGCTCCTCTAGAGAGCCCTGACTAATACATACACGCACATGCACACGCACACGCGCACACGCACACGCACACACACAGGCACAGAGCAGCTTCAACATGTTAATTTTTCTCAGTACTGTGTCTGGAAGTTCTAGGTCAACCTCTTTACAACAGAGATTCCTCTGATACCTCTCTCTCCGGTCTGCAGAGGGAGTCTTCGCCCCATATCCTCCTGGGGATGCTCTGTGTATGTCTGTGTCTATGGTGGTTAACTTCTATTGGAAACTTGAGATCCGGACTTGCCTGGGACATGGGCCCTCAGCATGGCACTGGGTGATTATCACGATTAGGTTAACTGACATGAGAATCACCACCTACTTTCAGTAGCATCATTTCATAGGTTACGATGCTAGACTATACGGTGACCTGAGAACAGTCTTTTACCTGTCACACTGTTTCCTGACTAAAGGTGAAGTATGGCCAGCTGCTGCACACTCCTGTAGTTATGACTTCACCATCACAATGGATGTGACCTCCAACTGTGAGCCAATGCAAACCATTTTAGTCTTTAAGTTGTCTTTATCTAGATACTTTATAACAACAACAGAAAAGTCAATTCGGGTTCCAGTCTCCTCCTGTTTTTTATACATTAAAAGTCTCTATTAAATGTCCCTCTCGCCGGGTGATGGTGGCGCACGCCTTTAATCCCAGCACTCGGGAGGCAGAGGCAGGCCAGCCTGGTCTACAGAGTGAGTTCCAGGACAGCCAGGGCTACACAGAGAAACCCTGTCTCGAAAAACAAACAAACAAACAAACAAATAGATAAATAAATAAAAATAAATCTCCCTCTCCCCCCTCCCCATGCCCACCATGGTTTGAGTGTGCTACCATGTACTATGGGGGTCAAAGGGCAACTTTTGAGAGTAAATTCATTCTTTCCACAATGTGAGTGATCAGGTGTAGTGGGAAATGCCTTTACCGGCGAAAGCCACGATTATCATCCTTTTTTTTTTTTAAAACAAAAGTATTTATTTATTCAATTTACATCCCAATATCAGCCTTCCTCTCCTCCCAGTGCCCAGTCATGTAGACTCTCCCCCATCCCTCCCCCATTCCCCTCTTCTCCTCTGAGAAAGGGGAGACCCCTGGCTATCACACCACCACCACCATCCCCCCACAGCACATCAAGTCACTGCAGGACTAGGTGCATCTTCTCCCACTGAGGCCAGATGAGACCACCCAGTTAGGGAAACAGGATCCACACGCAGGCAGCAGATTCAGGGAGAGCTGCCACTCCAGTTGTTGGGGGACCCACATGAAGATCAAGCTGCACATCTGCTACATATGGGGTAGGGGGCTTAGGTCCAGCCTGTGCTTGCTCTCTGCATTAACTTCTCCCTTCCTTCCTTCCTTCCTTCCTTCTTTCTTTTCTTTTCTTTTCTTTTCTTTCTTTTTTCTTTTTTTTTGGTTTTTCGAGACAGGGTTTCTCTGTGCAGCCCTGGCTGTCCTGGATCTCACTCTGTAGACCAGGCTGGCCTCGAACTCAGAAATCTGCCTGCCTCTTCCTCCCAAGTGCTGGGATTAAAGGCGTGCGCCACAATTGCCCGACATTAACCTCTTTCTTAATACAAACAAATTAGAAACAAATGCTACAGTCCAGGAACAGAGGGTGGGTCTTCCTCACTGACTTTGCCTCCCATGATGCCACATGTGAAAAGTGGAAGTGTTTATTTTCCAAGGGCCCCGGTAGCTCTGATAACCTGTGGGTGGAAAGTTCCTTCTCTGTGGTCAGTCACTCTGTCTTTCTTTATTCCTGGACTAGGTCAGTAGGACGACTTCTCAGTCTCAGTCCTGTGTCATTGAAGTCTGTGACCCTCACCCCAGGGATCCACTTCAAACTGATGGAGTTTTCTTTCTCTGGCCACCCACAGGAGCCTAGGGTCTTTCACTGTGTGATGCTGTGGTCACGGCTGCTGCCTGTGCTGTGGACAGGTGAGTGGGAACAGGACAGGGCTAGTGGGACAGGACCACAATAATCCTCATTTCTTTGCAGGGTGCCTGGCTGCGCAGAATTATGAGCTCTCAGTGACTAGATCAGTGACGGTGCAGGAGGGTCTGTGCATCTTTGTAGCCTGCCAAGTCCAGTACCCTGCTTCCAGTACTTCTGTCTTTGGCTACTGGTTCCGGGATGGGGCTGATATATATAGCGACTCTCCAGTGGCTACAAATGACCCACATCGACCAGTACAGAAGGAAGCTCAAGGTCGATTCTATCTTATGGGGGACCAAGATACTGATAATTGCTCCCTGGACATCAGAAACGCACGGAAAAGTGACACGGGAAAGTACTTCTTCAGGTTGGATGGAAGTGGTATTGTAAAATTCAGTTTTCTGAAGGCGATGCTGTCTGTGCATGTGATAGGTAGGTGAAGAGGGGATATGTGGAGGTCCTTGTTCTAAAGCCTATGGGTGCCCTGGAGACCACATAGTTAGGCTGGTTTGGGGGAGAAGCCTGGCTTGAAATAAGGTCATGCACAGAGATTTCCACCATGTCTTGTGTTCCTATTTCTCTCTGTCCAGCTCTGACTGAGACCCCTAACTTCCAAGCCACACCTACCCTGGTGTCTGGCACTTCTACTCAACTGATCTGTTCTGTGCCCTGGGCCTGTGAGCGGGGGACACCCCCCATCTTTTCCTGGATGTCATCTGCCCTCACTTCCCTGGGCCACAGGACCACCCTCTCCTCAGAGTTGAACCTCACACCCAAGCCTCAGGACAATGGTACCAACCTCACTTGTCAGGTGGCAGTCCCTGGTGCTAGTGTTACTGTGGAGAGGACTCAACAGCTCAGTGTCACCTGTGAGTGTCAGGACCTTGGTCCCTGGGGAAGGGAGGTTAGGGGTGTGGGATGGAGGGGTTAGAACTGGGTGATGGGTCCTGAAAGCCAAGACTGTGAGAGAAGAGAAGTGGGGTGGAATACCAGCAGCCATTTCCCCTTTGAAAAGCAAACAATCATATCTGTCTGCACAGATGCTCCACAGAAGCTGACCATCAGGGTGTCCTGGGGAGATGACACAGGTAGGGTCAAATTTCTCCTCCCTGGGATGGGTGCAGGGACTGCCTCTGCAAGAGATGAGCAGGTATTCTGGTGCTCAGGCAGGAGGAGGCTTAGAATGGGGAAGGGGGTTATACACCATCCTCACTTCCCATCCCCCATACTGCACTCTCCCCAAGGTGCCTAGGGTCTCTGTCTTTCTCAAGACACCGTCTTCAGTGCCAGGACTGTTTCTTCATCCCCAGGTTGCTCTTATCGACCCCTCATCACCGGAGCCCAGCTTGCTTCCCAGCTCTTCTCCTCTGTGTGACGTGATTTTGTCAGATTTAAAATGTGAGATGTGCCTTATTTGGCCTCAGCCTCTGTAATATGATAGAGAGGGTGACTTACACAGCAGAAATGAACTCATTGACTCCAGAGGTCAGGAGCCCCGGTTCCATGTGCTAGCCATTGGTTCCTGATGAGAGTACCCTGCCTGAGCTATAGATGATCTTTCCCACCTCCTATCTTTAAACAACAGAAATAGATTACATAAGCACTCTGGTATCTTCTTATAGTTCTATTAATTCCATGTTTGGGGCCTCTATTCTGCAACATCATCTATCTTAATTACCTCCTATGGCTGTCTGTTATATTGAATGTCATAGCCCCAATATATGGATTTTAGTGAAATACAATTCTGCCCATATAAAAATTTAATAGTAATAGTTCTTGGTGTCTAAAGTCTCCTGTCTTTGTTGATCATACATGGATATCCTTGCATGCACATTTAAACATACATACATACACACACACAAACACATGAACAAACGCAGACAGACACACATATACACATCTTCACGTACCACTTTGCAACTTTATCATTTTTAGTTCATTCTTTATTATTTACTTATTTATGTAGGATGGAATTATACCACTTAGCTACACCCTAGACACTTTGTTAAAGGGGTTCCTAAAGAAATTAACTTCCCTCAAAAGCCAAGGCCCTAAACTGAACTCAAAGTTACAGGAAACCAGCTCTCTGGGGATTGCAGAAACAAAGCAGCTGATTTCAACCCCAGACACTCAGTGGGTGCAAAAAGAGGCAACAAAGTCCGTAGTTTCAAAACAGCTTGACTAAGGAAAGCAGCTAACTTCCTTATTCTGCTTCTAATGCCCCTCTGTTTCCCCTTTCCCGTCCTTAGCCACAAAATCCCCAGCTTGAAGTATAGAACATGCACCCTACAGAACTCTGGTCATTATGTTTCTAAGTCCTGCTCCTGATCACTGTGTAGCCCAACCTGGAGACACCCTCTGGGATTACATAACGCCTGCCCTCAGTGTTTAAGGTTGCCTCCAGTCTCATCTCTTGTTTCTTCCTACAAACTGTTGGCTCCTCCACGGTCAACTCACAGCGCCACGATACATGTGTCAGTCAACGGCAACTGACTGAACTAATTTTTCCTTTCTTAAACTTAACTTTCTTGAGGACTTCCTCCTTCATACATATAACTGACACCATGGTTTTCTAATACTATGATAACATATTTACCCACTTATCTATCTCCTGAGAGAGCACTGGCAGTCCTTATTTTTTTATTCCATAAATGACCTACATAAAAACTCTCTACATTTGTGACCATGTCTACAAAATTATTTCCTAAGGAAGAAAATTCCATAACAGAGGGTCATTTGTATTTTACATAAATAACTGCCAAACTGCACAGCATGGATTTTGTCTCATTTACATTTCCAGGAACAACATTTTTCCTTAACGAACAGACACATCCTCCTGATGTCACATGTGAAGTCACTGTATTTTTCCTTCACATTATCATCCTCTCAAGAAACCGTGTCTCTTTTATGTTGTTTATGGTTTGTGGATGTGGCTCAGTCGGTAGAGTGTTATCCTAGCATGTAGGAGGCCTTGGACTGAATCACTAACATTGCATAAATCAAGCATGGTAACCACACTCCTGTAATCCCAACACTGAGAGGTTCAGAAGTCACCCTCAAAGTCACCCTCACCTACACAGTGAGTCTGAAGCTACCAGAAGCATCCAAGACCCTAAATCATAAAAAGAAAGAAAGAAAAGATAACAGTAAATTGTATTCATTGGTCTGTGACAATTTTCAAAGTCAACCGGAGAGAGATTAAGGAGGCAGCTGTTTGCCAGGTGAAGGGACATTTCTGTGTCCTTTGGCTCTCAGAGGGTAATGCCTCACTGTGGACAGAACAGTGTAGCATTGTCCCTGGACAGCTCCACTGTTCTTCACGTACCCGTCAGCATTCCTCCTCCTGGAATCTCCAAGGGCTTTTAGGATAACTCCACCATGAAACCCATCACTTAAACTGTGCCATACCTGCTTTGGGCCCCTGCCCCCAGGACTGAGCTCCTGGGATATAGCTGAATGAGTCAGGCCTTAGTGACATGTTCTTGACAGACAAGGGCAAACTCTCCAGGACAAGCAGGGCATCTGAGTTAACAGATGCCTAGGAGGGAAGAGTGGGACCCAAGTAGGTTTTGATGAGCTCACACTTCTAAGAGGTATTGTCTGTCTTCACTCTTTAGGGTGTGAGGCTATTAGCTAGCAGAGAGAGAGAGAGAGAGAGAGAGAGAGAGAGAGAGAGAGAGAGAGGGAGAGAGGGCGGGGGGAGGGGGGAGGAGGAGGAAGGAGGAGGAAGGAGGAGGAGGAGGAGGAGGAGGAGAAAGGAGAAGGAGGAGGAGGGGAAGGAGGAGAAGGAGGAGGAGGAGGAGAAAGGCAGAATGCTAAGAATGCTATCTGCAACCAGACTCAGCCTTCTGTCTGCCTCCTCAGAAACTAAAGTCCTGTATAACGGAGCATCCCTGCAGATTCAAGAGGGAGAGTCCCTGTGCCTGGTTTGTGTGGCCGACAGCAACCCTTCTGCCATGCTGAGATGGGAGCACCAGACCCAAAAGCACCTCCAGCTCTCCACCCCTGAGGAACTGAAGCTGCCACGGGTGGAGTTGAAGGACCAGGGAAAATATATCTGCCAAGCTCAGAACAGTCTGGGTACTCAGACGGTCTCTGTGAGCCTCAGCATAAGGAGTGAGTTGGAAAATACTGGGGGGTGAGGCATTGTGATCACAGCCTGGGAAACCCCCACTGATCCCTCTTCTTGTGTTTCATTCCCCAGGCCTTCTACAGCTGCTGGGACCCTCCTGCTCCTGGGAGGCTCAGAGTCTTCACTGCAGCTGCTCCTCCAGAGCCTGGCCTGCCCCCTCCCTGCGCTGGCGGCTGGGGGAGGGGCTGCTGGAGGGGAACAGCAGCAATGCCTCCTTCACAGTTATGTCCAGCTCCACAGGACCATGGGCTAACAGCTCCCTGAGCCTCAGCGTGGAATTCAGCACTGACTGCAGACTCAGCTGTGAAGCTTGGAATGACTATGAAGTTCAGAGAGCCAATATCTTGCTGGTGCCAGGACAAGAGGTCTCACAGGGTAAGGTGTGGAGAAAGGGATGATTTCTGTCTAGATTCTATAATAACATTGGAAGTGAGCAAAATGGGGCTGACTCAGGGTGAAATGGGGCTAGTGTTCGTGGTTTCCTGTTGGCTTGGTAGGGGGGTTGGGGACAGGAGGCTATAGTCACACACAAAGATAGGGAAGGAAGGACCTAGAACAAAGTGGGAGTGGACATTCTCACAAGAAATGGATTTGTAAAGGCTGGATGCTAAGATCCCCGCTTGGGAGGAAGACTTTTCATCATGCCGAGTCTCTCTTGTTAGCAGGCAAATCAGAAACCAGTAGAGGAATGGTCCTGGGGGCCATCTGGGGAGCTGGTCTTATGGCCTTGCTTGTTGTCTGCCTCTGCCTTATCTTCGTCATGTGAGTCTCACTTGGTGAAGGCTTCTTGTAATGACTGTTGATTGGTTAAAGGATTCCTAAAACTCCGCCCAGTAAGATGATAAGCTAAGCTGGGGGGTGGGGGAGCTGGCAGAAGCCGTCTACTAACCTGGTCGGGTATAGATATAGTCTGTTCAAATCACGCAGTCCCATGCACTGTGAATCTTCAATCCACAGAGCTGTTCTATCTCCAGCCCCTGTACTTGGTCTTCCCTGGTCCCCAAATCCATCTAGCTGAGTTGAAAAAACCTATCTCTTTCTTCAGAGTGAAAGTCCTCAGGAAGAAATCAGCCTTGAAAGTAGCAGGCGTGGAAGGCAACCATCTTGCCAAGAACCCTGTCTCCACCATAAATAGTGCGAGCATGGTTTCATCCAACATTTCGTTGAGATACCCCATCCAGGTACCCAGACAGCCCAGCATATCAAAACTGAGCTTCTGCTTTCTCAAATGTCTCTCTAGCATCCAACTTTCCCCTCATAGCCACAGGCTGGGGATCTGACATTTGCCTCCACCTCTATCTCCTGCTTCAGGAATTTACTGAGGCCTACCTATTGTTCCTGTTAGCTAAGCTCTTCCCAGTGTGGCTACCTCCTGCCAAGCCTTCACAGTTTTTCCCTGGGTCTCAGACTGGTCTCATCAGCCCAGAGTAAACTTTTATGAAAAGGAATTCTAAACAAAGCTATTGAGTCTTTACGGTCCAAATATGTGTTATCTAACAGAAATAGAATGTCAGATAGGACAGACCTTTAATCTCAGCACCCTGGAGGCTGAGGCAGGAGGGTGGAGAGTGTTGACCATCTGCCAGGGTGACTTATGAGATCCTTATAAACTCAAATGTGAAAAGAGAGCTCAAATGTGGCTCAGCAGTAGAGCACTTGCCTTGCACAGCGAGAAACGGGGATGTAGCTTAGAAGTGGAATGTGTGCATAGACTCTATGGGATTGTGACCCAAGGGTAGGAGACTGGGTTAGATCCACCCAGGAATGGGGTGTGGCTTGCTGTAATTTAACAGTGAGGCATGTGAGATGTAGCTCTGTTGTTGACTAATTTTTTAGCATGTGTGAGACCCTGAGTTCCATCCCCAGTAGGGAAAAGAGAAGGAGGAGTCGGGGAAGAAGGGAGACAAACATACAGAGCTGTGTGAAATCACAGAAAGAGACACACAGAGAAAGACAGGGACAACAGGACATTGGGCTTGGTGGCACACGCCTATATTCTTAGCACTTGAGAAGCACGAGGAAGGAAAATGTAAAGTTTGAGGACCTTGGGCTAATGGTGGTGGGGTTGGGGATTTCAGGACAGTCTGGGCTACTTAGACACTTAATTTTAAGATTTAACAGAAAAGTAAAGAAGTAGACTGTCGGCCACATGTATAACACAAAATCTTCATTAATCACATTAAAAAGCAGAAATGCATAATACAAATTTCATTCCATATAACACATCCAAGTGACTGTGGTTCTAATTTGTTATCAATAACCACATATAATGTTTATTAATGATATATTCACACTCTTCTTAATTTGAGGTACTCAGACTTTCAGATCTAGTGGTAATTTGTTCTCAACAGTTCATCTCCCCGAGTCTCCATCACATCACGTGAGCCACATGTGATTAGCACCATATTCAACCTGAAGACCTACAGAATAGAGTCCAAACTCCCTGGGCAGGTGTTCCCTGATCGGACCTTGAGTGAAGCCTTCATCATCTTCCATGCATCAGTTAAAATATCTCATGTCTAACAGGCAGAGTATCTCCTGCCTCTTTCAGCAGCAGGCTTCTCTCTGAGCCCCACTAGGGTAGGGTAGGTCTAATCCAGGCTTCTTGAGAGCTCACTGTAATTCCTTGCTTCTGCCCATCAGATTACAATTAGATGAAATTTTAATTTTATTTTTGAAATTTTACGTATGTAGGTTTTTGGAGATAGAGTCTCTGTGTAGTCCAGTCGTTCTAGAGTTTACTAAGAAGCTAAAGCTTTCTCCACACATAATCTTCCTTCTAAGGCCTCCCAAGTGATGGGATTGCTGGCATGACATATCTGGCTTCATTCATCTTCATTTATTTTTGACAGTCTGATGCTGTCATTCGTGAGTTACTTAACCTAAATCAGGCTATGCTCATATCCATAAAATGGGAAAGGAGGGGATTGGGAAGACTTGGTGAGACTCTATAAGGTTAACGTTATCTGGGGCTGGGGTGCCACATATTGTTAGACCCTTTGCCTACTATGTTCCAGGTCCTGGGTTTGGTCACAAATGCTGTATATACAGGCATATGTGCACAGAGACACATGCAGGGGGCATGTAGAGGAGGAGGCTGGACACATTCATATTCATGTTCATACATCAGTAAGTAAGGTGGATGAGTGGAAGCATGGAGTGGAAGCACTCAGGAAATACATGTAAAGTAGATAAATAAACAAATGCATGCCTAGGCCCCAAGCTACTTTGATGATTCTTGCTGCAAAGGCCTGACTGATTCCCTTCTCTAATCTGGTTCCAGGGTCATCTGAATGAGTCAGGGTCACAGACCCAGAAAGAACAGCCACCTCTTGCCACAGCCCCAGACACCCCAAAGGATGAGCCTGAACTCCACTACGCCTCCCTCTCCTTCCAAGGCCCAAGGCCCCAGCAGCCTCAGAACGTGGAAGCCATCAAATCTATTTACTCAGAGATCAAGATCCGCAAGTGCTGACGCTCTGTGTCTCATGTGGCCCAGTGCTGGCTGGAGTCCCAGAAAGGCATAGCCAAAGACAGCATGTGTTAGGAGCGTATTCTGATATCAGTGGCCCTCTAAACCAAAAACTATGTAGTGAAAGGATGGAGTTTTGGAAGGAATGAAGGTCACAGGGATTCCTAGGTACAATGCCAGATTCAGTGTTACCTCAGAGAAGCCACCTTTTCTCTTTGTGTCCTCTCTTCCTTCTTTGTAATAATAATCATGAAGCCCATAGTCACGAGGAGTGTCATGGAGAAAATGTAGTGTTTATTGTTGATTATGTGGCTTTATGTTGCCTGAGCAGTGGGGAAGGACATTTTGACTTTATTGCATACTAGAATTTTACATGTATATATTTAAGAACGTATGTTAGTTTCTAAAGTTATTCTGTTTTGAAGTATGACTGTGTTGTAGCTACATATATCTTAGATTGGACTCATATTGGAAATTCTGCAAACTTAAAGATTACACAGATGCCAACCCAGGCTACTATAGTCAGCAAAATTATCAATCACAGGGCATAAAACTAATATATAAAGATCTTCCACAGAGCTGCTGAGATGGCTCAGTGGTTACGAACACTGACTGCTCTTCCAGAGGTCATGAGTTCAAATCCCAGCAACCACATGGTGGCTCACAACCATCCATCCGTAATGAGATCTGATGCCCTCATATGGGTATCTGAAGATACAGTGTACTTTCATAAAATAAATAAATTTTAAAAAACAACGATCTTCCACAAATCAATAAAAGTGACAGACAATTCAATAAAAAATGGCATATGTGAATGGCCAGCAAACATACAGGAGGATGATCTACCGATCAGTGCTTGTCAATGAAATATAAATAAATACAACTACCAAATTTTGCAGCAAATTTGCTCACAACTGCAGACCTAAAAACACTTGCACAAGTGTTTTCATGGAAGAATTGGGGGTGAAACTCAGTGGTGGAGGGGTTGCCTAGTATGTCTGAGATCCTAATGTGTTTGATCTCAAGTCCTATAAAATAATAAAATGCACCTAAATACCCATCAGAAATAAGACAGGCAAAGTACATAATGTATATGGGATAGAGAAATATCATCTTATGCACATGTGAGTTTTGCAAATGTAGCATTGAGTGATATAATCCAGACACAGAGTCTCTAGTGTGTTAAGTTATTGGCATGAGGTTTAGAAACAGAAGAGCTCACCTGGACTTTCTCCTCTCCTCTCCTCTCCTCTCCTCTCCTCTCCTCTCCTCTCCTCTCCTCTCCTCTCCCCTCCCCTCCCCTCCCCTCCCCTCCCCTCC